CCTTCATATACGTCAAAGATTAGGTCCCAGATAAGCTTTGCATTACACAGATGCATAATGAGCCTGAACTGATTTCTGGATAAGCAGGAGCAGATGATATCCTTCGCCATAGTGTCCAGCCGAGTGTACTTGCGAATATCATGAGCATTTGCCATCTTGCATAGATCGGTAAGTCCAATCTCAGTGACGCTCCACAAATCGCTATTCATCGCCATGAGGCGCTTCCTCATCATGGCCTTCCACTTAGGATACTCGTGACCGTCAAAGATGGGGCACGCTACTTTCTTCATACCTGCGGTCGACATAACTAAAACTCCAAGTGGTTAAACCAAAATCACACAGAACAAGGTAGTACCTTGATCTGATACCAATTGAAAGTGCATTATATCGACTAGAGGGGGTGAATAGGCGATTTTTACAAATTCATCACTTAGGAAATTCTAAGTGGGGAGTTTCCTAAGCAACGAAACAGTAGCAACGGAATAAGTACTCAGGTACAAGCATAACAGAGCAGTAGCATAGTCATCATGGTGAAATGAGACATAAATAGAGCACAGAAAGTGTGAAAACAGGATAAGCACGCTGGAGACAAAGTGACTGAAGAAATATGATTGAGGAAATTGAGAAAGTCTTCAGTCAAAGTCTTCAAATAGTAACAATCAGGTTCATCAACACATGAATGAAGAAATGAAAGGGTTGAGGAGATAGAACCAGTAGCTTAGTGAAGATGATGATTTGGTAGACCAGTTCCAACTGCTGTGATAGTTGTATGTCTGGTTGGAGAGGCTAGGTATTTAAACCTGAGGACACACAGTCCTCACCGTATTCTCCTTCAGCTAAAGTCACACAGACCTCGCCCAGTCACTCGTGGTAAGTCTTCAGGTGACTTCCAAACCTTCACAGACTCGGTCACTTGGCGATCCACAATTCCTCTTGGACTCTCTAGACCATGACGCCTAACCGTCTGGAGGATGCACAGTCCTTAAAGGTAACAAGCGTCGGTTCCACACAAGAACAATATCTTCAGTGATGCTCAATCACTTTGGGTTGTAGGTGTTTGGGTTTGGGTTTTCCTCACTAGATGATTTTCGCTTAAAGTCCTCAAAGGATGGGATGCTCTCAATGACAAGTGTCAGTTTCTATCGGAGCAGCCAACCAACTAGTGGTTGTAGGGGGCGGCCATTTATAGCCTAGCGAGCAGCCCGACATGATAAGACATAAATGTCCTTCAATGATATGACCGTTAGGTGGGTATGATATTTTGGACAGCTAGCGCGAAGCATAACAACGGTCGGAAATTTGAGCTCTCAAATTCCTCAGGGCTATCATATTCCTCACTTTGTAGGCAATCTGCACTGGCGAATTCCTAACTCCTCAGTCAGAACAAATTCCTTAGAGACCAGAAGATCTTCGTCTCTGTCACTTAAGAAATTGACTGAACTGTATGAGATTTTCAATGGCTTCACTCGAAAGGATTGGGTAGGTGTAGGCTTTGAGATGAGCATCACTTAGAAAGTGTTTCCGTAGTTTTACCTCGACCATCCTTAACAGTACGGTATTTCCTATGACTCAATAAAGAGAAAATGAAACTACGAAAACAAAAGTCTTCACGCTTCATAGTCCTTGCATTAGTATCCAAGTCTTCAAGGTCACATCAATTTCCTCAGTTTCAAAGTATTCAACAAAACCAAAGTCTTCAAATGAACACATTCATTTTTAGGGGTCGACTTTCATCGTAAATATCAAACTTCTCGTCGACTTATAGAGCCTGTTTACACGCTCACAAACACATTAGTCCGTTGACCTATAAGTCTTCAATACACCAAAATCACTAAAGGGCACTAGATGCACTGACACTGACACGTGGCACACTATGATAGGCTGAGGCGTGTTTGCTGTTGGGGCTAATCGATGGATGGCCACTAAATAGTGCATACCAGTTCAGATAAAAACAACAGCTGATCTGGGTGGTTAAGACAAGATCGGGCGGTCGGGAGATGTGGTCACCGGAGGATACAGGCTGGGGCGTCGCTGGACATAAGGAAGAAGGGCTCGGGCGGCTCTGATTTGGAGTGTGCGGTCTCCTCTAGGGAAACCTCCTGAGCTCCGGGACGAAGGGACGAGGTGAGGAGGAACACCGCGAACTCGAAAAATGTTTCCCTGGGCAACCGAGGCTTCTGCAAGCGTCGGCGAGGAACAGCTGGAGCAGCAATGGCGGCACGAAGCTTCATGCGGTGTCTAATGTGC